ATATGACTTCTGAATAAGAAAAATATTTGTCTGGGTAACAGTGCATATACTATTTGCTCTGACTCCATATCAGATAGGATTTCACATGAAATATGGAAAGGAAAATATTGATAATCATGGTTAATGGATTTTGAAGACATTTTAATATTGGCTCAGCTTTGTAAGTCCTTTGCTATAGGAATTGTCTAGTTGGATCTGTTACCAGTTCATAGAAAACTGGATTGTGAATTCATTTCCTAACTTTGCGAGTCAGGGGCACTCATGAAGATATGAAAAAGTCTGGCTCTTTGAGTATAAGGCTCATTCAAATCTTTTTTCAAATGGTAAAAAAAAATAAATAATAGTACTTATCATTATTAATTATATATTTGATGATTGCAAATCTGGTGTTTGAGTGCCCATGTGTTAATATTTCTCTTGTTATCTGATTCAGTGTAAGCAGAAAGGGAGTCTTACGGGATTGATTCACTCCATCTTTGCCATTTATTTTGACCCCAACACATGGAATGCAATGGAGAGGGCTCAGATAAAAATGTCAAAAGAGGTGTTTTATAAATAGTATTGTATTTAAAGCACAGGCAGACAAACTGAGATGGTGTTTCAGAAGAGTAGTCCCTCCACAACTAAAGAGCTTCCAAGATTAATCACAAAGGAAGTATTAGGGAGATCTTGGGCATTGATTTCTTTCAGAATTTATCTGTTTTTAAATCCCACATGCTGCCTGTTTCCTTTGTTTTCTCTTTCACAGACTTTGCTAATAATTGACAAATCATGTTAGTTTGAAGTGTATGTCTCAGTTTGGTCTTGAATCACATATCTATATTATAATCATCATATATAGGATAATAAATATAATATTTACTTCTTTAGTGAAAAATCGTCTCCCATAACTGACAGAAAACTGCTAGAAAAATTTAACTTAGAATTTTGTTGATGTAATAATACCCAACTAAGATATTATTTTCTGAGTAATCATTAGGTAATGAATATGCCTTTATATTTTACTAATAAGTCTAGTTTTTAAGACACATTGTAATGTTTGGATCTTAAGATCTATAAATTTAAGATATTACATGATGTTAGTTATTGCTGTGCAGTGACAGAAAAGACTGAATCAGGAAACTTCCATATATTACCCCGTCATTATAACTGCATAATTTTCTCTCTCACTGACTTTATTATGTTGCTTTCATTTGTATATGGTATGTGAACTGAAATTGCCAAAAGCATAAAGCGTTTGGGTACCAGCAGGGTCTGTCATAAGGGAAGCCACGAGTCTAAGACTCTATGTGTAATCAGTACTCTGTGGCATATACAAATGTTCTATCCCACTTTCAGATAGTGTTTGGCTATAGAATTAAATCAAAGAAATAACTAAATGGAGCAAAGAAGGCAACTTATTATCAGTTTAGAATATATGCCTGATTACACATTTAGAAGAAGGACATCAATTCTTTTAGGGAGGTAGAATTTGATTTTAACAGGGAAGAATACAGCAGGGAAGACTTTGATTTAAAAAGTATAATAGCAGTTACATCATTCTATCTTCTCCTCTTTCAGCTTCCCTCATCTCTTATCTCCTCTCACCTCTCCTCTCTTCTCTCCTGTGACTTTTCTTACTTCGTTGGTTAACTACTATATGAAAGGCACTGTATTAAATATATGACTATACTTGCTATTCAATTTTCAGCCAATTACCTTCTGGTGTTCTTCTCTATTTGGAACTGAGAATAATAACTCTTTATTATGACCTTTCTAGAAAAGAGAAAGGTCATATAAACAGTATAAACAATTGACAGTGGTTACATAAATACCAACTTCAAGCTTATCTGTTTTCTGGGTCTCATGAGTCAATGACTCTCTCATTATTGCAGTCAGCGTAAAAATAACTACTATAAAAACATTGCTCCTTGATAGCCCAGTGTGACATGAATGCAAAGAAACTATTTACACAAGACAGCATCACATATCTCATTTAAATTTGATTAAGATAAGTTACTGGGAACTAAATTAGCTCCATCATTAGAACAGGTGTTGTGATTCCTTGAATGACATAGCTAATGTCTTTTGAGACCCTCGAATACTGTGAAATATAATCAATTGGGAGAAAGCAAATTAAGTGTTGCCCTGTGGCCATCAACCTTTGGCTGTTTAAAAAGACCATGGTATGCAATATATGTTAAGAGAAAAAAAAAAAAAAGAAGGTAGCAGGAGGGGAAGAATGAAGGGGGGGAAATCGGAGGGGTAGACGAACCATGAGAGATGATGGACTCTGAAAAACAAACTGAGGGTTCTAGAGGGGAGGGGGGTGGGCGGATGGGTTAGCCTGGTGATGGGTATTGAGGAGGGCACGTTCTGCATGGAGCACTGGGTGTTATGCACAAACAATGAATCATGGAACACTACATCTAAATCTAATGATGTAATGTATGGGGATTAACATAACAATAAAAAATTAAAAAAAAATACCATGGTACAGGTCAAGGGAGGAACTGCTTTCTTGATGATGTCCTCAGCTTGAAGGGTTATGAGTTCATCTATTAGACCACAAAGAAATACTTTTTAAAAAAATATGAAATAGGGCGCCTGGGTGGCTCAGTTGGTTAAGCAACTGCCTTCGGCTCAGGTCATGATCCCAGGGTCCTGGGATCGAGTCCCACATCGGGCTCCCGGCTCAGTGGGGAGCCTGCTTCTCCCTCTGACCCTCTCCTCTCTCATGCTGTTTCTCTCTCGCTTGCTCTCTAATAAATAAATAAATAAATAAAATCTTTAAAAAAAATATGAAATAAACACTTCTCATGATTATGGCTTCATTCCTCTTTACACAAAATTATAAAGGAAATTCTTGGGAAATATGCTGTAGATGAATGGGAGAGGATAAAAATTACCTTTGAAATTGTAGTGGTCATTACTGAAAAGTGCCAGAGGACGTGTACAGGGATCACTTATCACAGTGATAGAAGCCAGGAAAAGGGAGTTGAGTTAATTTCAGTGTGAGGGAATAGGAACAAGTTTAGATCTATACATTTTTTATGAAGCAATTTTGTTACACCTGATTTGTATGTAAGTCATGAAAACTGAACTGAGTTTTCTCTCCTATGAAAGCTGGAGGCAAATTTGGCTTAAAGCCAAGAACAGAGTGCTAGAGTGTTCTTTCAGATCTCTCTCTAGAAAGTTGTTTCCGTGTATGTGTTATAGAAACATCACCTTTCTTCTATCATTCTCAGTGGCTAAGTGACAAGGGTTATTTATTTATTTATTTATTACCAGTGATGCTGAATAATTCAAGGCACTCCTGAACTATGTAATGTCATTTCTGCCAAACATACCTAAATCCACCAAGATTTGTCATTAAGAGTTAAGGATTAAGCCATTAAACTACAAATCATCCATTCCTCAATTCCAATCACTGAGATATTAATATTATATGTGAAAACTGCCTTTTTATATTTTCAGGTAACTCTGAGAGCTTAGCTTATATAGATTTTTATTTCTAGTCTTTTGCATCAACACCATCACCACCAACAATAAGAATGACAACATTTCTGTGCAATTGATACCAGTTTTGTTTCTAAAGAGGAAAAAAAGTAGCACTCATTAGAATTAAAATTGCTAATTTTTAATTCACATAATTTTGGTTTCTACTCTATCAGTGGCCTTGTTGGCCATAAAGCCTCCAACCATTATCAATCAGTAATTATCCAATGAGAAACCAAATTACATCAAAGCGCATTTACAGTTTATTTTGTATGTTTTTTTTTTTGATATTTTATTTTATTTATTTGACAGAGAGAGACAGCTAGAGAGGGAACACAAGCAGGGGGAGTGGGAGAGGGAGAAGCAGGCTCCCTGTGGAGCAGGGAGCCCGATGCGGGGCTCTATCCCAAGACCCTGGGATCATGACCTGAGCCAAAGGCAGACGCTTAATGACTGAGCCACCCAGGCGCCCCTATTTTGTATGTTCTAATTAAATAGGCAAGGGTAATTGAAAAGCAACAGAAAAATGTAAGCGAAATAATCTTAGGCTTTGTTGGTATAATTTTGTCAAGAAAAGCAAGAAACGTGCATGTTGGAATTTTGTTTTTATTGGATTTCCTAGTGTCTTCAAACATTCCCAGTATTGGTTGGCTGGGCCAGACCCTCCTGAATACACTGGTGTCATTACTATAATTTGTGGCATAATTATTAATTATGATAAAAGACACAAGGATTATGATAAATAAAACTCCAAGAATCAATATCCTAATTCTATTTTGCTCAGACACATATAAAATATAAAGTGGGCTTGTATCCTTCATACAACGGAAGGCGGCGGCTAGATATCTTAAAAATGAGAGGGGAAAAACAATTTGTGACTGAAATACTACCACGGATGATCCAAAAAGTGATTTACTAAACTTTGAAATTGCACTTTAAAATGCTCAATTTCCTATATTGTGTTTCTCTCATTAATAAAATACAGCTTTGGTCAGATTGATATTTTTAAGGGAAACTGAGTATTAATTTTCTTTTTCAAAATGTTCTTCCAAATTTGCTACTTTCTGGTATTTCTTCCAATCATTTCTCTTGAGTGAAATGAAATTTTAATTAAATCTCTATAAACTCATCCAAATATGGAATTACTCTTTCTGTTACTAACGCTGTTTTTCATTCACTTTGCTAGCCAATTCCAAGTGGCAAAGTAGCTCAAATTTATCTTTTATTCTTGAGTTATGAAATTTGGGATTTAAAGCTCTAGCTCTTATTCATGTAAAAATTATTCTAGAAGCAGCAACAGCATGATGCTAATTGGGTGCTCAGTTTACAGAGCCTTCTTCCACTTCCTTTGACTACTTCTGAAGCATTAGATATCATAAATGTGGTCCCCGCAGTAGAGAAAAGTCACTTGCATTTCCTTTCAACAATATAGAAATATTTATTTTTGTCTTGTGGATCTTCCAATTGCAAGCACACTCTTATTGCTGTATATGATGGCAGAAAACATCACCTGAAATACCTACCAGCCGGAATCCTGGGGGGCAGAGATCCTCCCCCTGGCACTGGATGCGGGGCCTGGATGCTATTTAAAAACCCTGCCCTCAGGAAGCTGGGGCAAAACGCCTCCACCCCAATGGCCGGGAAGGATCCTTTTAAAAGATAAAAATGGACATTAATCAAAATCTTCTTTGTGGAAAAGTTGTTGATCATTTAACTGGAGGAAAAAAAACCCCTATGATCAATAAAGACATCAAACCTTAAAAGCGATAAAATGAAAAGGAATAGAATGCATTTTTATTCACAGACCTTAAAAAAATCAACCTAATTTTTGAAAAGAAAGCTACTCTTAACTAGTTACAGTCAAACACGGTTTAAAAGAATGCTAAGATAAAATTTCTAAGCCCCCATTTGACAAAGTGGGTATAAATGTCACTGGGGTTATCTATTTGCAGAACGCACATCCGCGAGTTATGGAAGAGAGCCTCAGCGGGATGGGACGTCGGGGGCGCAGAGGAAGGAGCGGGGCTCTGCTTTAGGTATTTCAGCAGCAGTGCGTTTCTGAAATAGTGGCAAGGAAATCAATATATACAATTCTTAATTTGTTATACTTTTTGGGAGAAGACATAAGAGTTTGCAAAGGTAGAACCACATGCTTTTTCATTTTCAAGGAGGCTATTATGAAGAAAAAAACCCCAAAAAACAAAAAGTAAATTACTTGGAAGTTTATCCCATAAGATTATATCATGAAGTGTAGAAGAAAAGACTGTCAGAGCTGGAAAGGACATCAGAAATCATCCAGATCCTCATTTTACAGACTAGCAAACTGAGGCACGGGAAGCTGGAGAGGGCTGCCGCTGAGCTGGCGGACTCCTAGGACAAAAATCTTTCCACTATAGATTAAAAATAAATAATGAGTCACTTCCCATTTGGGAGATTGCTCTTCTCCGAATATGAATTAGAAACCCTGCAGTTTGGAATAACAGCATTACAATTTGGTGTCTCAATGACCTGAAAGACACTAGAGTCATTCAGAAGAAAATTTAATATCCAGGCACCATGAGTGCCCGGGGAAGACCTGGTAATTGATACGGTATATCGAAGTTTAATCACAGTTAACACCCTCAACGCAAGTTACACTGACAGTGCTAAGGAATGCATATCGTTCGGGGCCTCTGAAACCCCTGACCAGGCCCGGCAGTTTCCGAATAAAGAGACCTGGGATCAATCCTCCCACACTCAGTTTTAGCAAGTCCTGAATTTTTGAAGAGACTTCATTCTGTTCCTTGACACAAATTTTGCCCCTAAAATACGTTAAAATTGAAAGCCTCTTTGAACTCGGACCAGGATTAAAGGGACCCTGTATACCTACCACTCTCTATACAACTTGCTTCTGTGGAAAAAGTTGTTGCTAAAGAAAAGCCAGCATTTCTTAGATCTTTAGAGATGTTTTAATGGGTGAGGCCTGTTCATTGTACATTGGATTAAAGGAAGCACAGACAGAAAATCACATACTGTAAATAAACTCGTTTTGTTGTTGATTTTGTGAGGCTTTAGTAAGAAGGTCCAGTTTGAGTCCCTTAAACATTAAGAGGTGTGGGTAAAGTACCCAGTAGTAGGCCAGAAAGTGTTCTGAGGTAACTTGTGATGAACAGTGACTCTAATTTCTACTACTGGGGGGGATCTACCATTGAGCAAAAATGTGCCCTCATGTACATGCATCCCACAACGCCATGCTTCAACAGTCTGGGAAAATACCCAGAGCCCAGGAGCATCACTGAATCCAGGTAGAGATAATTATATATTTATTCTGCATCCTTAAAGTTACAAAAGAAATGGTGATTTTGCTTCAGAGAAAATAATTATAAGAAATTCAGATTGTAGTATAGTCTGTGACAAACAGAAATATTCCAATTCTAGCTGATTATGGATTTATTGAAGCCAAGTGACAGGAAGCTTGGTTCAAGAATCCTAGATTGTAAAGAAAAAGAATAACATAATCATGCACAGGAAAGAAAAAGGAATATAAATATAATCATCATAAAGGAAATTTGAAGAAAAAAAAGCATGTAGAACAGACTTTAAATAATGTTAATATGCTTCACATTTAGAGATTTTTATCTTTGTGTTTGCTATTTTAGCCATAATCCTTGAAACTGTTAACTTAGAAACGATGTCCATTATTTTAACTCCTTGAAACGAAATACAAATATTATTTTATTGCTGTGATTACACTGATTACTATTTTTGTGGTTGTGACAGCCTGTCATATTTAATAACAGCTTTCATTTTCCTAAACTTGCTGCATCATTCATAATGGCTTTGTTATGTTTCTTTACTGTGGGTTAAAAGGTCTTTCATTTACTGTGGCATCTCTTCCTTAAGGAACTTTTATATATATATATATATATATATATATATATATATATATATGAAACAAACAACAAGAAAAGCTGGTGTACACGAATACACATTCAGTCGAAACATCATATTTTGTGCTAACAATGCCTTATCATTTCTCTCCTTAGGGTCAGTCGTGTCAGTAGAGATTACATGAAACACTACAGCTCTGTTTTCACAATTCAATAATGAAGCTGAATTTATTTTTAATTATAATTCTCTTATCTCTTAATCTACAATAAATTAAGGTCAGGAACCTTTTGGGATTGGAAAGGAAATAATTTTAGTCTGGTTTGCTGCAATGCTTAAATTGCTGGCTCCTGTTTTTATTTTTTTTTTAAATAAGTAATTGTAACAAAGAAAAAAAGAGAGAGAGATGCACAAACCAAGAAACAGACTCTTAACTACAGAGAACAAACTGATGGCTATCATAAGGGAGATGGGTGGGGGGATGGGGGAAATAGGGAATGAGGATTAAGAAGTGTACTTGCTGTGATGAGCACCTGGGTGTGGTATGGAAGTGTCCAATCACTATACTGTACACCTGAAACTAATATTACACTGAACTGGAATTAAACAAGAAAACAACAAAATAAATAAGTGTAGAACTTATTAATTATATTGTAGCCAAAGAAAAAAACAACAGCTAGTATCTACAGCAGGATAAATGTAAATGTCCAACAGCATTTGGTTTTTAGTTGCATTCAGTAGACTGAAGTATTTGTCAGAATAAATTAGGCTTTTATTTGATGAGAGTACTCCTCCCTTTCATTACAAGTTTGAAATATAAGATGTGTCACTTCACAAATGCTTTTCTAAATCTCAAATAAGTGAGTTTCCAGTTTGTCAGTGAGCATGAGTCAGTGGATTAAAGAGACACCATAATAGGATATTAGCATTATATTGTCTCTAATATAGAGTTGCCAGATAATGGAGCATCCTGTATTTTTATTTGCTAAATCTGACAACCCTACTCAAAAATAATTTCGAACACTTTTGAGTATCAGACTCACAAAAGACACTATTAACTACTGGTATAAGGTAAGTTAACCTAAGTCACTGGCTGCAGGAGTTGGTGATTTATCTGTCCTTCAGTAGTTCAGTGGTCGTTGATGTCCCTTAGGGAGTACTGCAAACTATGACTAGGGAAAGACATTATTTAGTGGGTTAGGGTCAGCACGTATGCTAAAGGCATTGTAATAACTGGTATACTCCCTACACAAAGGAGAATTTCTCTCAAAATGCTAGTAGCACCACTGAGAAACCCTGCCTGAGAGCAAAGCATCCTAAAAAGCACAGTTGGTTGCTAGTGACCACAATATAAAAAAAGCAGAAGTTGACATGATCAGCCTGAATTTTGACATCTGGTTTGATCAGTTAATGGAGTATTCTGATTACCTAGATTATTTGAAAGTAATCTGGCCTGTAGAGTAGCCAGTTTTCAAAGAGTTAAAATAAAATATATTTAGGGGCGCCTGGGTGGCTCAGTCATTAAGTGTCTGCCTTCAGCTCAGGTCATGATCCCAGGGTCCTGGGATCGAGCCCCGCATCGGGCTCCCTGCTCCGTGGGAAGCCTGCTTCTCCCTCTCCCACTCTCCTGCTTGTGTTCCCTCTCTCACTTCTCTCTCTCTGTCAAATAAATAAATAAAATCTTTTATATATATATATATATTTAACACTTAAACTCAATGAAACAAAATCATTTTCAATTTGATTTGCAGCAATCTCTTTGAAATAACTTTACCTTGGAAATCAGATATCATTAAGAATTGGTGTAAAAAGATGACTATGACTTTGAACTCTTCATGCCTTAATTTCCTCATACATAAAATGAAAATAACCACTCACCCTACCTAATGGGGCTGTATGTAAGAATTAAATAAAAGTAATAATCATAAATATAAGACAATATTATTAGATGTTTCTAAGTTTTTTTTTTTAGTGCTCTTTTTTAAATTTATTTTTTATTTATTTATTTATTTTTTTATTACCTTTTTTTTTCTTATGTTAATCCCTATACATTACATCATTAGTTTTAGATGTAGTGTTCCATGATTCATTGTTTGTGCACTACACCCAGTGCTCCATGCAGAATGTGCCCTCCTCAATACCCACCACCAGGCTAACCCATCCTCCCACCCCCCTCCCCTCTAGAACCCTGTTTGTTTTTCAGAGTCCATTGTCTCTCATGGTTCGTCTACCCCTCCAATTTCCCCCGCTTCATTCTTCCCCTCCCGCTACCTTCTTCTTCTTCTTCTTTTTTTTTTTTTCTTAACATATATTGCATTATTTGTTTCAGAGGTACAGATCTGAGATTCAACAGTCTTGCACAATTCACAGCGCTTACCAGGTGGGAATGCAAGCTGGTGCAGCCACTCTAAGTTTTTTTTTTAAGAGAGAGCAAGCAGGAGAGGGGCAGAGTGAGAGAAAGAATCTTAAGCAGGCTCCACACCCAGTTCAGAGCCTGACGTGTGGCTCGATCTCACAACCCTGAGATCATGACCTGAACTGAAATCAAAGTCAGACACTTAACCAACTGAGCCACCCACATGCCCCAACAGTCCTAATGTTTTAAAAAAAGAAACCTCTTTGGGTGAGAAATTGAGGCAGACTGATTCAATTTTTCTAATGCAGAACTACCTGCCTCCCCCACATACATCGACAAAAACCTAACAGAAGAAATCCCTTCATTGAAGATTACATATCAATAATTTAATTTTGCCTGAAAAGTTTAATAAAGGCAATATCCCTA